ACCGGTGCCAATTGAAAACACAGGTGTACGAGACAATAAAGGCTCGTTGCTTAAAACGAAGAGGGTCAAAGTCGACTGTAAGGTGTTTAGAATAGGGGATGGGGGATCGAGGGCTGGGGTGAACGGTGGGGTGTAAGGTGATTTGGTCGATTACAGGAGGATTCCTTTCATGCTCTCCTTTCAGGAACGAAGTCAAGTAACAATTCTGAGATTACGCCGCTGCCGAAATGAAATTTCATTCGCGAGTCCCAGAGGAAGCCGGGTTTCAAGTAGAGAGGGCCACGCGATATTCTCCTTTTTATTCCATCGCTCGCTCTCGCTTCGACCAGTCTTTCTCTTATCCAGTCTCTTCCAATTTTCTCTTCGTTTCGAGGAGAACACTGGTAGGGATACGCCACCGGGGAGTTTAACGGAAAGATTTCGTCACGGGACGATATTATTTCGTCTTCTCCCTTCCGGTCTCCTCGCTATATAGGTGTAAACCTCTTGTAAAACTCTTCCTCGATATTCTGGCTTAAGAAGACAGGAATATAGACATTCTTTTAATTCTCTATTATGAACTTGTTAGATATAAAAAAGTAATATTCTCAAATAAATTTATACAAAATACTTATTAGGAGTTTGAATTGAAATTCAGTGCTGTACAATGTGACTTTAAAATCAGTTCCTTCACTGTAATTCCATTGACAAACGAATCTGTCACCTTTGCTTCCCCGAAAGTAACCTCCGATTCGTTCCCACGAAAGAAGCGTGAAACAGGGAAACTGTCACCTTCCAGTTGCTTTTCTACTCGTTTAATCGTCTCTGCTGCTGATTTACAAGATTCAAAGTTCTCCTCGAAGACAGTTTGAAATTTCTTTCCTAAACACCTTGATCAAAGTTTAAGTATTCTGAGATGTCAAATGCAAAGTGACTAACATACATACCCTGTATCCTTGATGTAAGGATTCAACTTTATAAAATTACTACCAAAAAATGAAAGATTTCACGAAACATAATTTTTTATTAAAATTCAATTAAATTTTTTAAAAATAGCACATTTGTTATAGAACTGTCTTAAGCGAGTTGCAGTTTACATGCCGGTATCGAGGCTATTTTTGAAGTTAAAGAAGAGCGAACGTGAAAGGGGGTTGAAAGTTGAAGCGGTAGAGGTTCGGATGAAAGAGCGAAGAGAAAGGGTAGGTGATGGCGGTGGAATCGAGGAAAGGGTGAGTGGGGTGGTCGGGGTTGTGCATGGACTCGCGAGATACGAGAAATAATGGTGGCACGTATACGCGAATGCTGCTTGTACACACAAGACCACATGCACCGAGAGCAACTGACCACCGAACAGTTCCAATGGGGCCTGCTCGCCACTACGGCGGTAATAGTCTCGACAATAATCATTTATTGTTCCTCAATGGCGTCGACGCGGTGCTGGAGTCTGGCTAACAGCTAGACGGAGAACAGAGAAAGAGAGAAAGGGGAGTAACAATTTAAAGTCGACAGTGAACCTGATTCAGTCGTCCGACCACCATCCATGCCGCTTTCCTATGGGTTAACTGTTTATCGATAATCGTCCGATTACGGAGGGACATCCTCTGCTGAGAAAAAAAGATATTTTTTAGGATTTCATTGTAATTTCAGGGGACAATCGAGACTACGACTAACGAGTTAAGTGGAGGAGAAAGAAATGTTAATTGGAATTAAATTAAATTCACAAAAGCGTGGGAAGATATTAAAAGAAACGTAATATTAAAGACACCTACTATTTCTTTTTTTATTGTTTTATGTTCTCTTTTTTTCGTTAATAGGTGTAATAGATGTTGGTTCTGTAATCTAACACAGAAGCTTCCTACATCGTGATTGAAATCGAATTCCTTGAAGGTTCTCGGAAGAACTGAAACCAGCTCGTAGATAACCCTAACCCAACCACTTAATATTCCTTTCGATCAGCAGTCGACTGACCCTCTCTGATTTCTCCAGGATAACGTCTTGCCTCAGAATCTTGCGTCTGATAAATCGAAGCTGTCCTTATTCTAAGCTTGCTCTCAGATACAAGGGTGAACGTGATTTAAATAGATAATAGGTTGTATCTACCAGCGTGAATAAAAAGAAATATCCACCATAATATAACACTTTACTGCTAACCCTTTATATCCTAGCATTTCTCTTAAACCTCATGGAATAATTCTATCTGAAAGTAAAAACAATACATCGCATTAATTTAAGGAATTTTAGATATTTTGGAAATTTTTGAATCTTTGATTTGATCAATCGAAGATGGCACATTAAGGAATTAAGGTGTAAAGTTCGAAGACGATTTAGGGTGACCAAACAGAACGATAAGCGAATGCCTCCGGGCTTAATGGGGCCCGGGGCCATAAGCGACGGGGTTTCGGCAAGATTTGCATGACAATGCCCTGTCATTACGCGCTCGGCCCAATCAAACGTCGAGCACACACCGTTTGCTCAGCAAGTGTTTATTACCGATGCGACATGCAAATGCTACGGCTTCTGTACATGAGTATACACATAGAACTCGTGGTTCCATTAGTAATTCCTCCTTTCCTCGACTTAGATAGGATTCCACTACTCCTGATAGTCTTCGTCCGAGATCCTGGCAGAACTGCAAATCGTATCGTTCAATTCTATTGCGTATTGACAGGAAATCGGTAAACCGTTGAATCATCGATTATTCTGATAGTTGTTAATATTTACTGAGGAAATCAACATTGACGTGACTAGAATTCTATTACAAGTCTTTACGAGAGGATTCTGGAAACTTAGAATCGTAGTATTTTAGTATTATAAAATCTTAGCTAGCCTTTAACCTAAGGCTAAATCTAACTATATTTCTACCAATTTTCATCTGTATTTCTTGCGAATGGGTGGCACGCAATCAAGGAATATCCAGAAGTCAATTACACGAAACGAACAGATGTGCTTCGGTAGTGTGTCTTCTCCTCCTGGGGTTTTTATGACGATGTTACTGTCAAAAGGGTGTTTATGATCCCTGCGATTTAATTCTATTCAGGGGTGGAATATTAACAACGCATCTCAAACGAAACATGCAATCTGTTTACCTTATTGTGTAAGCAATAATATACCTTCCTTTGCAATTAAAATTTCACGATTAAAACATACATATTCTTGTTTATACTTAAAACAAAATTTCATTATCAAATATCAGGTCAGTTCACCAGCTTGTATTTTATAAAATATGGAGTATTATAAAATAAAGAAAAAATAATAATTTATTGCTTTAAGATAAATTTAAAAATTCTAAAATTTTTTAATTACAAAAGTATAGTTTGATAGTGTAACGACGAACCATCCATCAGAATGACTAAAAATTTCTTATTCCTTAAATTAACCGTTTTATACTTAATATAAGTTTCGAGGTAAATGAAGGCGTTTAGGCTGGCAGGGGTCATAGACGGCTCATGCCCATGCGTATCTACAATAACAGGATCATGAGCTTATAGCCGGAGCTTAGAGAGTTCGATCAATTATTGTTCGCTTCCTATCTACGTCACGCCGGCCTGCAGCATCGATGCAACGAGTTGCACTCGCTTGCTGCACTTCCTGCTGTTATTGGGAAGTAAGCTATCTAGCGTTCGAGCAACTCTCACGTTATGATGTTTACGCCAGTGCATTTTCAGGCTAATATCAGACTCCTCGAGAGATAACGATTATCAGTACCTGCTTCCACAAGAGTGTCCATTTCTATTGTAATAGTGAAATCGTTGTTGGGGTAGTTTTGGCATGAATGTTGTCAAGATTTTAGAGAACTTTCCACAGATTAACCAATATAAACGTTGAAATTGAAAATTTTTCAATTTTAGAATTGTTGTAAGAATTTTTTCTTGCGTGACTCAGATGTTTTAGAAAGCTGTAAAGTTTTGAAATTTAAAAATAAATATGGAAATATATTTATTTTTACTTATTGCATGGAAATTGGAAATTGTAACAATAGGTAGGATTATCGTGGATGAAATTGCCTATAGACCTATCAGGAGCAACTATATCGTCACGGTTAGGCCGCTTATCTCCGTACGGTGGCATGCTAATCAACGAGCTACTGTACCTATATCTATACGGAGTAACGTGTCTGGCTGGTTATCTCGATTTGTCGAAATAATCCAGGGACAAATCACGGTCCTGTTCAATCTTTACCACCCTTTGTATTCCTAAATATCCTTGAACAATTTTGTTAAACAGAGGATGTTAAAAAAAACCTATATTAGTGATGTGGTACTGTATCTGCTAGGGGTGAGTGTGCACCCCTAGTTATTGATAAGTAGTCAATTTCTCAATTCGAAAATTAATAATTTTTGTATCTTTAAATTTCTAAATGGGAAGTTTGGAAAATCTGACTTCTCCAATTTCCAAATTTTTAAGTTTCTAAATAAAAATGTCTAATTTTAAATTAAATGAAACACCCTGTATGTTTGTTCTTTGATTGAATTTGTTTATTTATGATCGCAATCCCGTGCGTTACACGCATCAAATGAAACAGTTACTTCATCCCTTGGTGGACATGTTTGAAAGGGTTGCGAGGCACCGATTGATCCTGCCGGTCTACCATGCGTAGAACAAATACGTTATACGACAGACAAAAAACTTGTTACGTACGTTCAAATACAATTGGACGCGAGGTACTCGATTAAAAAGCCCTAATGCTTTTTCCGTGCAGTACACAAAAGCAGGGAAAGCTACAAAGCGACCTATGATTGGAAAATGTAGCAGCTCGTTATTGAAGTTGAAGCCATCGAATAGGTATACATACGTTTGATTTTCCTGAATGATCGAGCAAACAAAAGCTTTCCTTTTTTTAATCTAGAATCGCGCATTCGTGTCAATTTAATCTTTTGCTTTCTGCCCACGAAAGTTTCAAAGCTTCAAATTTTCAAAGTGGAAAATTAACAATCAGAAATAATCAGTAAAATTCATATAAACAAAATATATAATAATCTCTATAAATTTGATAAAAAGAATTTCATTACATCTGTTACCTTTCTGCACCCTTCTCTTCATGGACACCATATTAAAACCACATTAACATAATTTTTCTCACCTGTGGTTTTCTATTCAATGTATCATTACGCTACGTTATTTTTTTCAATATATTAAATCGGGTATAAAAATACGTACCAGTTGCACCCATTGTCCTGCTGGATTGAAGTATTCGAAAGTTCCATAGCCGAGGGAGAATCGGTAAATTAGCATACGATGAGTGGAGCTCGTTTAAATTTGAACTAGCAGCAGGAGTTCCGTATTTGCATAAGAAAGAGAGAAAAGTGGAATTTGCCTAAAAGACGATTCAAATCTTCTCGTGAACTGATTCGACCCCTGAAAAGAAAAAAGAAAATCATTCTTGCAATCCATACTAGTGTCCGCGCAGATGTTTCCCTCTTATACAAACCATTTAACAACCCAAATCAACCATTCAATGATTCTCTGGTCACACTTTATACGTATCCAGATGGAATATTATTGAAATGATGGTCTATTAAGGACTTCCATATGATGGAAAAATATTTCAATTGAAGTGTAATAGGCAGAAAAGTAGAAAGATACTGTTATTATGTAAATTAATATTTCAAGATGGTTGCGGTTAGGTTATATGTATTCAAATGGAATATTATTAAAATGATGGAATAATGGTTCGTTAAGGACCTTTGTACGATGCTGAAGTGTAATTACGTAGAAAAATAATATTGTAATCCTCTTGGTCCTCTTTCCTCTTTCCCTATCACAAGTATCATTTCATTTCTTTCCACAGTTCGCAACATCTGTGATCGCTAACTCGCTACTAACACCTTAAAATTGTTCGACAGAATTGAAAAGGGTTTGTCGAAGGGTTTGATGACGTCTAAGGAAGGTCTCGCGAAGCGTCTGGTAGAAGGCCGAATAAAGGCAGACAAGAGAGAAGGTAGAACGTTAAGGAAAAGATGGAGTAGGAAGATGGGAGGAGCGGCGGCTTCGAAGCTCGATTATGTGATATAAAGTTGCCAGAGCGAAGGGATAAGGAAGGGAGAGATGCACCCCCGTTGATTGAACCGCCACCTTCAACGTGCCGTGAACACATGTGCTGGTGGCAACACTCTGATTGGAAGCCAGATGGGCTCTTCAGCCTCTTACCTTGGCGCATTCTCCCCCCCTCCTCCTCTCTCTTCCTCTTTTTCTCTTCCCTCTGTGTTTCCATCTCCGGCCATCTTTTTCTTCGTCGACACCTGAAACACAACCCTCTTTCGTAAAGTGCCTCTTACCAATATATAGAGTATCGAGTCGTGGCCGCTGACTCGTTCTGCATGGATGCCGCGAACAGTCTGTGATCAAATTGAAACGAACCCGAAGAAACCAGGATGGATTTGGACGATTTCCTGCCGTCAAACGGAGCTTGGCTTAATACCGTATAAAAGTACCATTCCAGCCGCGATACAGCAGCTGATTGATCGGGGCGAAAATCCGAGTCGTTTCTCCGATGGCAGTTTTGATTTTAAACTCGAAAGGTTTATTCAAATCCTTCGGGATTCTAACCACACGACTAAAGGCTCAACGGTGAACAGCCCATCTACAGGATCATCGGCAGAATTCTGGTATTTTACATTAATAGCATTTCAAAAGTTTACAATACTACTTGAGTATTCTTTCCTCATGAACTCCCCTGGCCACAGTTAGCATACATTAACTTCCCACCTCCCTTACGATTCTTGTTTCACCAACAGACTTCTGTTATGTCCTTTCATTTGCATTCATATTGTCTTTGATCAGAACGAGGTGACAAATTGCGAGTGGAGAAGGAAAAGAATATCGTGCAGGGTTAAGAAAGATTCTTGCAATTAGCAGTTTATTTAAGTTCACTAGTTGGGTCTGGCAGTGACACTTATTATGGAATGGTTTCTTTTATACCGCAACATCCAGAAGCGGTAATTAGAGTGTCCGGTATTTAGAAGGTTCCTAGGGTGCTCTCCGAGGAAAATGGCGGGCGGGGATTTTCTGTCTCCAACAGCAACGAGGTGATGCCTGACTTTATACTGTGTTGCGACTCATTAAAGTTCTCGCTCTATTGTAGCAATTGTACTTCCATGAAATCCACTTACAATAGGAGCTGGCCTTGCAAATGTACCGAGATTAGAACAACATTCGAGGCAGGTCTTTTCAAACCACCATCAAAAAATAAAAATTCATGGTTCTTTGTTGTTTCGTTTTCTTTAAATAATTTCCGATGGGAAGTACAAGTACCCAATTTCTAGAATTATGCTCTCTAGACATTATACTCGAAGTCAAGGAGGAGCAGATCAAGTGTGCACTGAATATTTGGGAAGTTGGAAATTTGAAATTTCTATATTTCTGCAAATTTGCAAATTGAAAACTTGGAAATTTAGAAACATGGAAATATAAATTTTTCAAACTAAAAGATTAACAATCCCAGTGCAAGCCACCTGTATTGTGCTACTCACGAGTTACCTTTTAACCCTAAGGATTCCAGCTCTAGTTTACGTAACATATCTCGTAAATTTTTCCATCCACGCAGTCGTTGTATGGACCTGTCACCAAGAAGGTCGCGATCAGAGAAACATCGTCTGGACAGTAACGTCAGTAGGTTTACAAGCCGAAGGTAAGCGGGCTTGTTAGGACGGCCGGATGGGTTCGAAGGTTTTCACGGGTGTGGAAGAAGGTAGGAATAGAAAGAGAAAGAGAAAGAGAAAGGAAGCAGGGGTTTCCAGTCAGGACATGAGGGACAGTTCACCGGCTTTAGCCGGCGGCAGTCCCTAGAGGTGGCAGTCCCGTTGCAAGCCGAACCTAGTCTGTGGTTGCTGGCTTGTTAGATCCAGTTTGGGGTTGGTACGGTCTGAAGAGGGGGTTGCCCACTGGAGGGCACCACTCTTCAGTAGACCGCAATCGGGTATGCAATTTACGTGGTGTCCGACCTCTGCGACCTCTGCCACCCCTCTTCAACCCCTATATTCCGGGAGCCGTACTCACGTCTCTGCTTCAGTATCCCCTCCGATCCCTCCGCCGCGCCGCGCCGGCTCGTTTCGCACCCGTGTGCAAAACGAAGGAACCAGGTATGAGGCTCTGTGTGTTCATGCCCTCCTACGTCCTCGATACGCAACAGTGGAAAGCGTCGCTTGTGCACCAGCCTTGAATATCCTCCGCTGCTGCGTTTCACTTGGCCGATTGATCGAGAGGGTGAGGAACGCGGAGGATATAGCGGAAGAGGGAAAGCCGATGGCTGTCGCGAACAGAAGCTTCGACGCCAGTTAGGGTACCACTGCTTTCTTCGAAACGGCAACGGCGTAAGATTTTCTCGTGGTCGACGGCTTACGAACAGCCGTAATGACGCGCAGGAAATTGGAACTAGCGGAGGATTGAAATTGCTCGGGCGTACGGACTAACAATTTGTCGAAGATCAACCTGAACTGAAGTGTTTCCATCGTAAAGGTTAACGTTGGCCGTTTCAAAGAACATTCCTGCTCATTCCTCTCTGTCCGTCGTCATTTCCTTCGAGTTCAGAGGCAGGGTGTTTCAAATATTATCGCAATTTACGTATGACATTCTTGGAGAGCAATTGAACCATAGTACTGTACCAATGCATTTCAAATTTTGCAGAATTTTCTTTTGAGAATAAAATATTATGTTGAATACCTTCACCTATTGTAATTAGTTTTTACAATAAAGTCTTTACCTTATTACAATACAGCGTTTATAGATCAATAAACGGTAGCAATGTAGATAAGTAATGGAAGGCAGCAGGTGTCGTAGAAGTCTGAGATTGTTCGACACGTTTCGATGCAAATGTCAGGTTGAACGTTTCGACCTGGCGTAATGCGCATGTTAATCGGTCGAGGCTACGTCGTGCACTGCTAGCAGCGGCATAATTCGCTCAATTTACAAGCCTTATCGCAACTGTTGCATTTAATCGGCGAGAATTAGGTTATATCGTTTGGTTGACGTTGCCGCCTTAACGGATCGACGCTTCAAACGCAAATTTCCGTCTGATGAAGGTCCGCTATTGTATAAACGCCGATATGATCTTATGTCAATAACAGTATCGTTCGTGAATTAACTCAATTTCTGATTTATTTGGATGATGTTCCTAAGAATGTTTCTCTTCAGAAGAAAATTGTTGTTGAATTTTTTTTTGGCCACAAGTTACTTTTAACTGTCACTTTCACTTGAAATTGTTGCTATGAATAAAATGATCGATTTTATTTATTTAGGTATTCAATCAGAAGATAGAAGAGACTGGAAACAAAATTGTTTCAGAAACTGAAGAAGTTTCATCGCATTTTTCATATGATAATTTTGTCATTTTGCAAAACTAAACAGAACAAGTTGAAGAACCGAAGATTTGCCAAAGATGGGAATATTACAGGTAGCGAAATATATTCTTTGAATTTTACTAATTGTGAGAATCTCAGATTCACATATTTAGTAAGATTTCCAATTCTATTAAAATTTTTAATAGCAAAAAAAAATTGCAATAAATTAAATACACAAAGAATTATTACAAATACACCTAAAATAGTAAATGCCCTTAAAAACAGAGGTGCGTCGTCAAAATTTCTCCCTCAAAAATAATATTAATTATAATTTATAGCATATCGTAGCCTACATAACGGGCGGTGCACACGGTATTGGAAAGGCTGTCGCCGAGAAAATTCTTTGTGAAGGAGGTAAAGTAGTACTGGCCGATATATCCAGCAAAGGAGCAAAACTTGCGGAGTCTATGGGCGAAAGAGCTTTATTTACGTGTACCGACGTAAGTTCGGTTGATCTGAAAATTTGGTACCGACAGCGTTCATAGAAATAATCGATATTATAGAAATTGATAAAAGGATTAGAAAATATCTTAAAAGTGCCTTAAATAGAGTTTTTACTACAAATCATTAACACAAGTGATTAACACGTTGCAACCAAATTTTGCAGGTCAAACATGAAAAGGATATAAAAAAAAGTATGAAATTAGTGAAGGAAAAATTTGGAGGTGTGAACGTGCTCGTTAATTCTGCTGGTGTACTGGGTTACGAGCGGATATACGATTTCAAGACTAAAAAACTGCATTCGGCAGATCTATACAAATGTATATACGACACGAATGTATGGGGTTTATTTAATGTGACTCGTTTAATGGTCGGTATGATGGCGGAGAATACACCGGACAAAAATCAACAAAGAGGTGTTATTATCAATCTTGCCAGTATGGTGGCTTATGAAGCGATTCCAGAATTGACTGTTTACGGTGGCACAAAGGCTGCGGTTGCGGGCATGACGATGACTTTAGCCAGGGAATTTGCCTCGAAAGGAATAAGAGTCGTTGGAATCTGTCCTGGTTTCATTGAGAGTCCCATGACCAGTAGGTTATATTCATTATTTTAAGAAATAATTAATTACGAAGGTGATGAGTATATTTAACTTGGCGTAACTAACTAGAGATCAGGGCGGATCCCTCCTTCCTTCAAATTTTAATAATAAATTATAATTCAACATTCAGATCCACTGACGCCAGAAGTAAGAAAACGATGGATCAGTATGATGCTAACCCCGAAACGCTTTGGAACCTGCGAAGAAGTGGCTCACTTGATTCAAGCCTGTATTGAGAATCCCTTAATAAACGGTGAAAACATACGTATAGATATGGGCTACCGGTACTGTCAAGTGGAAGACGGGCAACCAGATGAACAGAAGTGCTGATTTACTTAACCATATTGTTAAATATAAATTTGAGATCAAAATTAATTTTAAAAAAAGTAAGTTTTAATTAAAAATATTTAAATTAAAAATTAAAAATTAAAATAAGGATTATATTTTGCATTTAAATTTTGAATTACATTGAAATATAAGTAATTTGTTTACTGTACTTGAAAAGAGCCCAACCAATTTTGATAAAAAAAAATTTACCAGTACCAGAATTTAATTTTTTGAATAGATATTTCGTACAGAACCAAGCATGGTTATTTTCCGCGAAGGTAAGGGGGGGAAGAGGATTTTTCAAAATCCTAATTTTGAAGATATTAATTTAGAAAAGTTTATATTCCTTTAATACATATCTTCAAACTCAGGATTTTGAAAATTCCTATTTCCCATCATTTTTTTTATGAAAGCCTACCGTGCCTACGTACCGTATGTTGTATCTTTCGAAGAATAAATTTTTCCAGTGTATTAAGTAAGAAAGTTTGTTGGAAGTCAGAAACGTCGGACAAAATAAAGAATAACCGTTGCAGAGATGCGATCAGCGATTCTCGAGCACGTCGCGAATACGGCGTCATCAGCTGCGACGTGCAACACCACCATCCGCCACCTACTTTCACCCGGATGAAATTTATGTATGGAAATATCCGCGTGAGCATTACGCATGTAGAATATCACGACCAGCAGCTGGAGGCCCTCCCGTGACGACACTTCCTACGAAAATATATTTTACCGTTCACGATGGAGCCGGCAAGCTGGAAATATGCACTCGAACGACCCTTTCCTTTCCCGCACCATTCGTTTTCTTCAGGTTGCGAACCTCTCGTCGAACCTCCAAACCTTTACACCCACCATCGACGCAACCCTGCATAGTCAGAAGCTTCTTTCATATTTCTACCTGCAGATTTGCGGTGCATAGGTTTATACCTCACGGTCGGGACACCTCCCCTTCGCGTTTTATCCTCCATGAAAATTTTATGACCTGGGTGTAGATTGGTGGAAGCATTAGGGATAGGTCAGTTAGCGAGAGGCTAAAGAATTGGAATTGACTGTAAAATTGAAATTTTTTAAATCTTGAAATATATCGTAAACACACTATGACTCGGCGATTTTCAATTTAAATTCTTCTTTAAGTTGAAGAGGAATTTTCAAGCATAGAGATCGATATGGGAGCAGGAATCTTTCGAAAGAGCCGCGGAATTTTCGCGCGAAACTGAACACGTGGCATCTGGTTTGGAAACTTTCCTTTTCACGGATCAACCGATTCCGTTTCGCGCATTACTTAAGTTTTAGGCCGCAGTGCGTGTCCTCTGAGAAGAATTTCCGCGGTGATTTCGCACAAAGATTGAAGCTAACTCGCGACGGTCTCCCACATGTTTCGCGGAATTTCCAACGGAATGAAATGCGTCCCGACTATCGGTCAAACTTTCAACTATTCTTCAGATGTTCGGCTTGGCTAAAAGAAAGTCTGCCTAAGAGATGAAAGGAACGAGCCAAGGACAAAGAAAGAAGAGCTTTTCCTTCTACCGAGTTCGTCCTTGGAATTCAGCCAATTCGTATAAGAGCTCTTCTGCTTTCCCGTTGCCGAACTATTTATCCGAGCGTTCCGGACAAGTCCGTGCCCCGCTGTTCCGCTCTTGTCCTTAGAACCGATCACATCTCTCGAGGCTTTATCCTCGTCCTTTAACGACGCTTAATTTGCAAAAAATCTTCAGACACAATTGCAATTACAATATAATAATTTTACGATTCTTTCATTTGTTAATACCATTTTATGATAACAGTAACGATCATTTTTGAATAATTGATAATAATTTTTCGTCGACTCCGTTTCTATCGATACATCATTTTTGACAAGAAATACCGTGTACAGGCAAAGGGGGTAAGAGTTCGCGAGAGGCGAATGAATCCTCCCTTTTACACGTTAGCATCCCCTATATGGAACAGCAGTGAAAAGTGGTTCTAACAGCTGCGTCACTTATCGTGGATACAACGTCTATTACAATGGCGGGTGATTAATTCTTGTTTTCCTCTATCGTGATCCATTTAGGAAAATCCATCTTACCGGATGTTTTTCAAACAGTTTTTTTCCACGCGTCTGCCTAACGATACGCGATAAACTGAAAAGAAAAACCTATAGATACCACAAAAATATATATTCGTTTCAGATAAATGTAGAAATCAAGCATTCTATGTTTTCCCCAATTTCAATAATTGAAGAAATAATGTCCCGCATAAAATACTAAACAAAATTTCACATTTTTCAAAACTCTGACGCGCCGAGTTTTCCGTTGCAGCCACAGATTTATACGCGCGAATGTCTTCGGCCCACGTGTTACCTTTAAAAATTACAGCTTCCACGACGAAACTGTCAGATGCACCCTCGCTCGTACCCCAACGACGCTGAATAATACGCGGAGAACAAGCGCCCTGGGACACATATAATCGGCTGGCGAAAGGGGACGGGTAGAGAAGGTTGAAGAAAGAGGAAGGCGAAAAACATATCTGAATCGTTGGGGATGATGCACGTGCTCGTTCGTTTACTTCACACCCTTTTCACAACCGGCATCCTCGTCTCGACGCTGCGCGACAATCGATGTCCTGCCTGTTCGGTATTTAATACCTTCTCGTCTGTCATCGATGGATTTGATAACGCATCGTGGCGCCTTACAGGGAAGGAGAAATAAAAAAAAAAAAAAAAAAGAAGGAAGAAAGGAAGGAGAAGAGAGCGACAAGAAAAGGGTTCGCGAGCATAAGGGTGCCTTTTGATTTATGTAGTCGCGTCTGCGAAACGACAGTGAATATCAATCACCGTGCATGGAAGAATCGAAGGGGGGTGGGTCATCGCGGCAAGCACCATGGGGAAACTTGAATCGACACCTAGAATGCATGGGGAAAACAGAGTCTTGATAACTTCATTTTTACGCCATATTGATTTTTGCTTAGACCTCTGATAGGTTGCAATTTATTTCAATGTTGAATTTAAGGAAAAATAAAATTAACATAATTAGCATCAGTACTTGATAAAAGTAAAAGTTTCTGTATAATTTAAATAATTTTTGCCAATGTTCAATTGTTGATTTTTATGCATCTTTTTAAAATGTATAATTGATGATTTTTGAACTTTACGTGTAATTGTAAAGTATGACGGTTTGATGCTGTCAAATTGATCTCATTAATTTTTATTAACTTCAAATTAACCTACATTTCTAGTTCCTTGATTTTGTACATAAAATGGCAATTTAATGCACCATGGTTCTGAATAATTTCGTTGATTATGTTCATTCATTGACGTAAATGGAACTAACCTTGTTAAGTTAATATTGATTCTTTAATTTTGTAAGTAATTAAATGCAAACATGACAATAAGCCATGGTTCCAATTTCGTAAATGGCATATTTAACACTATTAATTTATTATCAAATTGCATCTATATCATGTGCTCCTAAATTCAAAATAATGGACTAATTTGCATTTATTGGCCTTTGCAATTTAGTAATAATTATTCTGTTTCAATTAATTAATCGCTAATGTAGATAAATTCCAACAGAATTATATTTACACAAATTACATAAAAGAAATTGTTACTTTTTTTACAATAACATTCTATTATACTATGAAGATATAAAAAAAAAATAAAATCTCCATTCTGAAATTATTTCTTGGAACTTATCCATTATTTGCACAGTCTCCATTCATTTTCGTAGTCTCTACAGAATTTCCCCTGGAGGGTTTGCATTTTTTTTTTTTTTCGGCAATACCTTAGCGAAGCAGTCGGTGACGCACGTGCGTGATTGGCAGAAATTCATTTCGTGCGATTTACATACCACGGAAATTGCGTGTCTGCCGTACGTATATCCTGAGACCCTTTGTTTAGATGGCAGCGTTTGTCATCGTGGTTTCGCGTAAAGTGAGCCGTCGCGTCGTCAGGGCGCAGACATAAGGCTATGGGGTAGGAACTCCTATAGGTTAGAATATTGGGCACAGATGCAAACTTTCCAGATTACTGACGGTCTCATTAACGCAACATTATTGAGTCTGTAAAACGACAACTTCTTCTCAACGTCTTGAAGAGCCTCCGGTACCTACTTAGGTATCTATGAAGAAGTTATAACAGACAACGTGTTAATTGAGTAGAGATATACAAATTATTTTAATAATTTTAATAAATTTCTTAAACCACTTCAATGACTACTGGCGCAAACATAGAATCGTTCGTTTGGATTGAACAAATTCCACAATCAAGTGTAACAAAGGATTGGGAACGATTTTTCTCGCGAATATACTCTCGACCATGCGATGCATCGGCGTTGCAATGTTTGCCGATCTAACAGACTTTATAACGAGATGAACGCGTGCAGTTTGTTGACGGAAAATATTGAACGATCGTAAGGCCGGACATTGTGCCTCGACAATGCGAGAGGGACTGCTGTATTCCCGTTCGATCGACCGGGAAAAATCATTCTTTTCCTGACTTTCTACATTAAATAAACGGTACCGGATGCTAGTGACACCGATTCATGATATGTCAATTTAATGGTCACGGCTGATCGCAACGGCAGCCAATTTCTTTCGAATGCGAAAGCATTCATTGAGAGGGATCGGATACTTTCATTGTCATGTAACTCGAGCATCCTAGTATCCTAATATTTCTGTATATCAACGTTCCAATATTCCATTGTTGCATTATTCTAATACTTTAATAAAGAAGAACCTTCAAACATAAGAATCACCTTATTAACAATGATAATTCCAAAAATAAAATAATTAAAATTCTAATGATTGTACCACGGGACTGATAGAAACTTGTATTTTAGTACCAAACAAATCTGAAGCTATGTTAAACAAAGACGTTCAGAGAGGGGTGAAAAGTCATCTATTAGCAAATGCTGCCGCCATGTCAAAATCACTCGACCGGCTGACGAAGCAGATACATAGAAGCTGGTCGTGTCCTTGTAGGTTTGAAGCAGGTAGCAAGCTCTCGAGACAAGTGGCACCATCCATATGGTAACAGCCTGGTAAGCTATCTAACGGAGCACCAAGCGACTCTAACGGCCGATTTTCGAATAGAGAGATCCGTAGACCAGGTTCGATGACCTCTTCATCAAGGATCACACGTCTAAATCCTCGTAGCTGGACCATGGATTGTCCACTCGATCGAGCTTTGTGGAAATTCACAAGGACTGTACAGCATGTGTGCACTCGGATGCACGAGGACTTGCGGTTCCCGTCCTATAATCTCAATTCTAAAGGGTTACCTTCGTTC